GAGTCCGAGTCGACCGAAACGGTTGGCACCGAAGCCGAGGACGCGGTCATCGGCGGTGACGACAATCACTTCTTCGCCATCTCTGCCAAAAACGGCCACTACTTTGACGCCGTGTTTGTGACCATCGGTTGTGACCACCGGTTGACACAAATCGGGAAACGTTTGCAAAACAGACAAACAATCCATTCATTCATTCAATGATTTCATTCATAAAAACAAATCAATGATTGTTTTGAAGTCAAACGCTATGAGAGAGCCATTCATTGATTACGTAACCAAACAAATAAAATTACATAACTTTATGCCCCCTTTGAGACGTACTGGTGGTGGACTCGGGAACCGCTTTGGGAATGCATGCTTTGCGGCCATCGATGGGATGTCTCCACACGTAGTACTTGTCATCGGCGGTGACGGCGATCGCCATCCGGTAGTCATAGTCTTCGCGACGATGTCTTTGAAACGCATCCCTTCGACACGTGATGTGTGTTTGCGGGCGGATAGAGGTCTGCACTGTAACGACCATTGCATTGATTGCAATGCATTTGTTGGCTAAACACAGACCTCTAGTCACACAATTTGAAGCCATTTTGTGAACGTTTAGCATTTATTTGGATTTTGGTTTTCGTTTTATCACTTGATTTGATCCCAAAATATGGCACAACAGTTGACACAAGTGATGGCATCGCACGAGACCACAGATGACGGCGAAGAGGAGCGCAAACAACAGGTATTGACAAACAGTTTAATAGTAATTGAGTTTTAATTGTATTTTGTGTCACATTTTAGCCCAAATTCATTAGAAAAAGACTAATTGACTGTCACTTCGAGTTGAAAACGATTCCCATTGAAGACCCGAAGCCGAAGACAGCGCCAGAGTTTGTCGATCAGAACACCGGCGGTAGTGGTAGTAGTAGTGGTGGCGGCGGCCGAAGTGATGGTGACAGTAGTGGCGGCGGACCTGTTGTTGGCGAAGAGGAGGACAGACAACAGGTATTGACAAACATTTTAATGGTATTTGAGTTTTAATTGTATTTTGTGTCACATTTTAGCCCAAAATCTATGCGAAGGACTCAATGGACAGATTCGGTGACGACTTGTGTGCACTCATACTGTCTTATCTGCCACTCAAACATCGGTTTCCATTGGAATGTGTGTCCAAACAGTTCCGGAGGAAAGTCTTCGAGAGTGTTGTGAACATCAAAATCAGGAAAGAATTGTTTGGACTGAAAGGCAATACAAGCGCTCATATCATAGGAGTGTTGGAAAGAATGGCCGAAAAGTGTCCAAACATTCAATTCATTGATTGTCAGAACCGTAACGGAAGCAACGCTTTGCATATGTTTCCCACAATTAGTCACAAATTCCCGCATTTGAGGGAAATTTACTGCTATTTGGTTGGAAACAGCGACCAATGGTTACCAGTGTTGGCGCCACTGATCACACGAGTGCTCGTCAATCACAACTACAAATCTCTCACTCAATGCCACCGATTGTCTCATTTAGAAGTGGTTTTCTTGAGCCATGTCTTCGACAGCACTTCCGATGAACTATTGGTGAAGAATTTACAACTCTTTAAGTTCTGGATGATAGCGAGCGCTGAAGAATACGACCGGTTGTCCCGATTCGTGTCCGGGAATCAATCACTCAAAGAGCTTTCAATTGAAACTCACGTGAAAACATCTTTGGCTGAAATTGCGAAACAATTGTCTCGATTACCACAACTGCGGTCATTAGGACTCAATATAGCTCAGGGATACCGTATGTATCAATTGGGCGACTCATTGGCCGACTCTTTGCGTACAATTGGCGTGAATTGCAAACAATTGAAACGATTGTCACTCAAGTGCTGGCATTACGCGACACTCAATCCGTTGAAAGATTGGCCGCAATTAAAGCGATTGCATTTAGAGCTCTTGGAGACCAATGATTGGGAACTATTGGAACCGTTGAGACACTGCCGACGGTTAACACATTTGAGTCTATTTATGTACAAAATGGGAACCAATTATCTGTTGGATTGCGACAAACATTGGCCACGACTTCAATACCTATACGTTAGGCATAGAGATGGCGAGCATTCATACGAATCAGACATTGATATCAGAGACACTGATTTCGAGGAACTGTTCTCAAAGAGTCCTAAACTCAAAAACATTACAATCCGTGAAAACAAAGTCTTGTTATTTGAACGCAAATAAGGTTTAAATATTAAGTGATTTGAAAATACAATTCAATTAATTTTATGTGTTTTTAAAGCTTTTTTATTTCAATTCATCAGTAATTTATAATTTTGATTTATTATAAGTTTTAATCTTTAGTTCTTTCAATTTAATTGTATTTTACATAAATTCTAAACTATAACACATTGTAATTGTTTAAACATAATATACTTTTAATTGTAATTTAAATATTTTATTCTGATTTGTATGTAGTCTGTCGTACATTATAAGCAATTTTAATCATTATAAAATGACTACTGAGTATCTGTTGTATGTTTTTAATCATTAATTAGTATTATATTTGAATTATATATTTTAAACTCAATTTTATAACTATTATTTGAATACGAATTAATTAAATATATTGTAATTAATAAGTGTTTTGTGTTTGTTTTAATGGAAACCCCAGTTTTTTAATAATTTTTAGTCCATTTTTAAAATATTAATTTTTTGTATCCAAATTATTAAATAAATACATAAATTCATTGTTATTTATATAAATATATTAAACATTTTAATTAAATGCCATTAAAACTAATTGTAATAACATTTTTTAAAAATCTTCCGAGTCATTTGATTTGATTTAATGTTCATAATTATAATTAAATGTAAAATTTAATATTTATTATAAATTAGAATTTTAATATTGAATCCACAATAAAAAAATATACGATAATTAAGTAAATTTCAATATTTTTAGTTCTGCTTAAAAATGAGATGATATTCAATGATTGCAACGAAATATTACAAATTGTGTCAAAAAATAACTTTTTTTTATTTAAATTG